GATTGGGCGCCCGAGTTATCCAGGGTAACTCGGGTCCGGGGTAACTCGGGTTTGGATTCCCGAAAAAGGAACCCGAGTTACCCCTGACCCGAGCTACACCTGATGATTCGGGGCTCTGGACGCCCGAGTTATCCGGGGTAACTCGGGTCCGGGGTAACTCGGGTTTGGATTCCCGAAAAACGAACCCGAGTTATCCCTGACCCGAGTTACCCCTGATGACTCGGGGCTCTGACCAGATGTTTCCAGGTTGCACTCGGAACTCATATGAGGCCCCCAAGCGGGGCCCGAACACACACTGCTTTCCATTGTGCTTGCCAATGACGTTCGCGTGCAGGCCGACATGGCCCCGGACGGCCGACACGACAAAAAACAGAGCCGCCATGATGGCCCACCGTAAGGTCCACAATTCATTCAAAAACGTCGGCGGATGTGGCACAAACGTAAAGAATGAAACGCCGGCCCTGGGCAAAGGGCCGGATTCCCGGAGAGCCCGAACGGTGAAACATCAGTGCGTAGTATCTGTGGGGGGGGGACGATGGGAGAGCGACGAGGACGGCGAAAACGACGACGAGGGCGAAGGCGAGGACGAGGGCGAAGGCGACGAGGCCAAGGAGTCCCCACTCCTCCTCGTTGCTATTCCTCCCCCCCCCTCCCACCACCCCCGAGGAAAAAAAAGAAAGGGGGAGGCGAGGATGAGGGGGAAGGGGGAGGACGACGATCCCGTCGCCGACGCCGACGCCGACGCTGACGACGCCTCTCGACGACGAACAGCCGACTCTAAGATCCGACGCCGCGGGAACAGAACGAAAGCACGGCTGGAACCCCGGACCCCATCCTTTCCAGGCTGGACGACATGGGAGGAGGAGGAGGAGGAGGAGGAGGAGGAGGAGGAGGAGGAGGAGGAGGAGGAGGAGGAGGAGGAGGAGGAGGAGGAGGGGGAGGGGGAGATGGAGGAGGAGGAGGAGGAGGAGGAGAAGGAGGAGGAGGAGGAGGAGGAGGGGAAGGGGGAGGAGGAGGGGGAGGACGAGGAGGAGGAGGAGGAGGAGGAGGAGGAGCGGACGAAATGGAAGCATCGCGATTGGGGGGGCTCTCGGACCAGCCGGCTGATTTCTGCGGCGCCTCCCCGGCAGCGGAGGCGCCCACGAAAAACTCGAGGGAAGGCGCCGGGCGGCGGGGCCGAAGAGCCTGCCGCAGGCAACGGATTTTTCGCACCCGCATGTTTGAGAGGAGCCCAGAAACCCAAACGAGTAGACACAAATCCCAGGATGTCCAACGCTTTCCTATTGAGTTTGCGTCATCCCGTCCACCTGTCCATGCTTCCCGATCTGTTCCCATGATTTCCTGGGCGCCGACGCTTCGTCATGTGTGTGTCTGTTTTTGTGCCCCCCCAGAACTTTCCTGGTACCCCCTGTCGCCCGACCTGCTCCCACAGTGGCACTTCCCGGGGCTGCACGATGCGCGAGGCCCGTGTTCAGGGCCATAATCTGAATGTGTGTGTATGTATAGTTATATGTGTATGTAAATGTATATGTATATGGATACGTATATGTATATGTATATGCATATGTTTATGTGCACGCATATGTATGTGTGTATATGCATATGCATGTGTATATGTGTATGTAATTGAATATGTAGATGTATATGTCTATGTCTATGTCTATGTATATGTAAATGTATAGTTATATGTATATGTATATGTATATGTATGTGTATACGTAGTTGTATATATATCTATATATCGTAGATCAAGGACGGGTGGTAAAGACGCAAGACCCTACGAGGCCGACGTTTGGATTTGATTGACGGCGGGCGACCCAAACCCGTGGAAACGACAAAAGACGGGCCGCAGAGGCCAGGGCACACGGGTAGCCCAAAAAAGGCGGGCCTCCTTACGATGCGCGTCGAACGTACGTTTCCAACGCCCACGGGAGCGATCGATCTCCGATGACACCAGGGGGCAGCGGATGTGGACATATTTGGGCCCAGGGGGCCCGAATATGTATCCTATCCAAAATCAAAGGAAGGTCGGGTCCCCAGGCGGCGGATCTGAATAAATCCAACCGTCGGACACGGAAGAGCCCGAGTCCTGGCGAAAAGCACCAAGCGTGAAGAGAAACCGCGGCGCCCACGCCTGCAGGGCAGGCAGCCGCCACAAAACCCTGTAGCCCTGCAGGTCAAAAGGTCTGAGCAATGAGCGATGTTTGCAACCAAACCAGCCCCAGCGGGGGCGCCCCATACCCAGATCCCCGAAGTCATTATGGCTTCACCTTGTGGGCCCGCGCGACCCGTGCCCCAGGACCGGTTTCTCATCCCGGGCCGTTGCCTTTGCGGCACAAGGGCCGCGCAAGGGACCCTAAGACACGAAAATAGCGAAGAGCTGCCCACCGTGATTGTCCCACGACGAAGGAGGGGGCCTGGGGCCCCAGCGGCAATTGACTACCTGCCAGACCACCCCAACCCAACCCGAAGACCCGAATTTCGGGTTGGGGGGGGTAAGGGTTCCACACGTGTTTTTTCGACGTTTCCCGACCCCCCCCCACTGGAAATCGAGGGTAAATCTGAGCCTTCGGGTTGGGTTGGGGTGGTTTGGTGGGTGGTGAGCAATTGGACTGGCGCGGGTGAGGCTCGCAGGTGGCCACGGGCAGGCAGGGGACGGCCGCCGTCCCCTGCCTGCCGAGGCGACCTAGACCTGAACCCCTTGGATTTATTCGGCATGGGTGACGCTATTGACCACGATCGTTTTTTGCGTTGCGCCCTGCTTTCTCTGAAAATTAAGCTTGTTGCGCGATTCTGAACTGAAGCTTGCCAAGCTGCGTTGAGGTATATGCGAATACGACCCTGAAACCACCGCCCGCCCCGAATCATGGCTCTCGCGTTGACGCGGGTCTTTCGCTGTGTGCAACGCGGACGGAATATGCGCTGTTCTTGGTGGGCCACTCTTTGGGTGCGCGCCTCGCGCTTCGCCCGCAGAGGAGGTGCGCGCGATGGCATCGGCGCGCGCGCATCCCCAGCGTGCGCCAATCCGCCGCGCACAACGCGCGCGCGCGAAAGCATCCGCGCGCGGGAAATGCCAACGCGGGCGCGAGCCTTCCGGGCGCGCGGAACGCGCGACGACAGATCGCCCGACCAACACGCGTGACAAATTTGCCCCGTGGTCAGCATTCCCTATGGTTAGGTCGGGCATGTCCCCCTACAGGCGGATTTTGGACGAAACGTTGCAAATAGTCACAACATATTCGCAAACAGGCAAAACATGCGAGGGAAATCGTCCTCAGACTATAGTTTTCTTATTTTTGAATACTCCTGTAGAGAGACCGGCCCGACTTAACCCTACGAGTTTACCATGCGAGCGGCACTTCCACAATTCTTATTGCACGCCTTCCGGGCGCATTCTGTCGTCGCCACTTCGGAGTTTCTGTCGCGGCCCTGCGCCGCTGGAGGAGTGTTTGTCGTCCGCCTGCTGTTTCTTGGCGTCGGCAGTTGCTTCTTTCAACCGTTTGAATTGTCGTCGGCTTATGAGGCTCCCATCGTACTGAAGGACTACATCTCAAAAATAATTTCGAGCGCCCGGAGAAGTGTCGAAACAGTGTCGGAACAGTGTCGAAACAGTGTCGGACGAGTGTCTCCCAGGGCCCGACACGCGAAAACCCCCGAGTTTCGGTATTTTCTTGGTGCTCGGAATTCTTGCTGGTGATCCAGGCTGAGGTCAATTGGAAAACTATTGTCGTCGGCCTCCTTTGGTTGTCGTCCGACATTTTTGTCGTCCGCCATCTTTTGTCGTCGGCCCTTTTTTGTTCTTCGTTCGTTGTTTTCCTTCGCGGTCGCATTCAGAGTTTCGCCACGGGATCTTCAACATGTTTCGGGGCCCTTCGCGGCCGGGTCAACCTTCCATACCTGTTCACGCCTCGCGCGTCCCCATCAACTCCGTCTGGAAAAGATGCCCAGAAAGCGCTCATGGAAATTCGAGTCTTGATCATTGCCCACCCCCTAGAGAGACCGCGCACAACCGCTGGGGTGGGGCTCAACGCACACAACGTCAGAGACGCGTGACGAGCGCCCCGGCTTCATTCATGAAAAACAAACCAGCGTGATCCTGAAGTTGTTATCGTCCGTCCTTTTGTCATCATAAGGAAACGGAGGGAGTGACCCTTCTCCCGGCGGATTGCCTGCAGGTGTTTCGTTACACTTGGGAATACAAGGACTCGGAATCGAATTGACTACCTACCAGACCACCCCAACCCAACCCGAAGACCCGAATTTCGGGTTGGGGGGGGTATGGGCTCCATATGTGTTTTTTCGATGTTCCCGGACCCCCCCCCACTAGAAATCGAGCGCAAATCTGAGCCTTCGGGTTGGGTTGGGGTGGTTTGGTGGGTGGTGACGAATCGGATCCAATCGGCGGCGCGAGGATGCATCACAGCGCCATGCAAGCATCGGGCCGCAACGGATCGCCCCAACATCGAAACCGAATCCACTCGGGCCGGCCAAGGCCCATATCGAAGCGGGTCGATCGGCTCGAAACGGACCCTGAGGGGGCGGCGGCGACGCCGAGCCACCACGGCCACCGCGCCGTGCTTGAAGTTATGATATCCAAAATAACGCTCTAAGAACACAGGAACTTGATGTACGAAAAGAAGGCCTCCGCCAGAGCTGTTCTGAGAACCCTCCGTGCAGACCGAAGGCAAGGGCACTTCAGAAGAAGACAACAAGGCAGAAACATAAACTGTTGGCGCTCCGCGCGCATTTGTTGGATCTGCGCTGGACCCCCCTCCCTGGCGCGCGGAGCGCGCCAGGGTCGGCGCCGGAGGCGCCGCGGGGGGGGACCGCGCAGATCCAAGAAGATCCCGCCGGAGCGCCAAAAGTTCTTTTCATGGCGTGTCATCATCCTCAGAACTTCTGAGGAGGACCTCTGGTGGGCCCACACAGGCAGACCATAGCGCTCCTCCACTGCCGAGCATGTGGGGGGGGGGGGGGGCGGCGGCGGCGCCGATGCCCGCCTGCGAGGTCCTCGTCCTCGTCGTAGCCCTGGTCGTCGTAGCCCTGCTCGTCGCCCCCCGCGGGGGCCGCAGGGTGCCTGCCGGCCGCCAGGAGCCTCGGGAGGGGGGTGGGGGTGCACGGTTTCCCCCTGGGCCGTAGGCGACCCGAAGGAGGAGGGGAGGAGGAGAGGAGGAGGAGTGTGGAGGAGGAGGAGGAGGAGGAGGAGGAGGAGGAGGAGGAGGAGGAGGAGGAGGAGGGGGAGGTGGAGATGGAGGAGGAGGAGGAGCAGGAGGAGGAGGAGGAGGAGGAGGAGGAGGAGGTGTAGGAGGAGGGGAGGAGGAGGAGGAGGAGGGAGGAGGAGGAGGAGGAGGGGAGGAGGAGGAGGAGGAGGGGGAGGGGGAGATGGAGGAGGAGGACGGAGGACGCAGGAGGGGAGGAGGAGGAGGAGGAGGATGGGGAAGGGGAGGGGGAGGGAAAGGCCGAGTGGGAGAGGAGGATGGAGGAGGAGGAGGAGGAGGAGGAGGAGAGAGGGGGTGGAGGATGAGAGGAGGAGGAGGAGGAGGAGAGGGGAAGGGGAGGAGAAGGAGGAGGAGGAGGAGGGGCGAAGGAGGAAGAGGAGGAGGAGGCGGAGGAGGAGGAGGAGGGGGAGGAGGGAGGCTCGGGGAGGAGGAGGAGGAGGGGAGGTAGGAGGCGGAGGAGGAGGAGTGGAGAAGGAGGAGGGAGGAGGAGGAGGGGAAGGGCGACGGGAGGAGGAGGAGGAGGGGAGGATGGAGGCGGGAGGAGGTGGAATGAGGAGGAGGAGGAGGAGGAGGAGGAGGAGGAGGAGGAGGAGGGGGGGGAGGAGGAGGAGGCAGGAGGGTGGAGAGGAGGAATGAGGAGGAGGAGGAGGAGGAGGAGGGAGGAGGAGTGGGAGGAGTTGGAGGCGGTGGAGGAGAGGCGGAAGGAGGAGGGGAGGAGGGAGGAGGAGGATGGAGGAGGGAGGAGGATTTGGAGGAGGTTGGGGAGGGGAGGAGAGGAGGAGGAGGAGGAGGAGGAGGAGGAGGAGGAGGAGGAGGAGGAGGGGAGAGGGGAAGGGGGAGGGAGGGAGGAGGAGGGAGGAGGAGGAGGAGGAGGAGGAGGAGGAGGGAGGAGCAGGTAGGAGGAGAGGAGGTGGAGGGAGGAGGAGGAGGAGGGGGAGGAGGGGGAGGAGGTGGAGGAGAAGGAGGAGGGAGGAGGAGGGAGGAGGAGTTGGAGGAGGAGGGGGAGGAGGAGGAGAAGGAGGAGGAGGAGGAAGACGGGTCGCCAGAGCCCTTCGGAGACACCCTCCAGGTGGGGGGTGGGGGGGGCAGTCTCCGCAAATCCCGCGCAAGGCGAGCGCCAGATCGCTGCCTGGGGGGAGGAGCGGCCCCACCAGGGCTTCCCAGGAGGGCCCCGAGATCGGCTGGTGCGTCATCTGGGCTGAAGGCAGCGAGGGCGGCCAGCGAACCGGCCGGTCGCGCGGAGCTGGCTTTCCTGGCGCCTCCCGGCGCAAGAGACGCCAGCGCATTATAATATATACATGGATATATACATACACCAATAAACGACCACACATGTCTGCATAGACCGCTGTAATCATAACAGGTATAACAGATACGCCTACCACGAACATGTTCTCATAACCAACTACATCTGTATATATATAACTATATGTGTATAAACACACATACATACACATAAGACTACAGGCATACCACGAGATGTTGTAAGAACGAAAAACGTTCTAATAACCAAAATAATGATCTTAGAACATAAGCCCGATGGGTTAAAACAGGACAGTCCCAGCCAGACATGCTCCAAGATCATTTCGTGCAGACCACAAAGATTATTTAATCGCTTCGCTCATTCCGCCGGCCCATATTGTCGCACCGTTGTGGGCTAGCCGAGTTTTGGGGCCTCTTGGGGGCCGTTTTGGGGCCTCTTTTGGGTCCTCTT